GTTTTCTCCTCCTCCTCCTCTTTTCTCCTCCTCCTCCTCCCATTCCGGCATCCCGCTGTACCGTGCGTGCCGCTACCGCTACCCCCTCGGCGCCGAAGGGGCTCAAGCTCGAGCTCAGCGGCGTGCCACAGGCGCGCCCGCGCGCCCCGACGCCACGCCGCTCTGGCGAGCCGCGCCGCGGCGGCCCGGGCCGCGCGAGGCCCGCGGCGCCCTCGCCGCCCACGGGGGCCGCGGCGCCCTCGCCGCCCGCCCGGCCACCGCAGGGCCCGCGGCGCCCGCGGGGGGCGGGGCGCCGACGGCCTCGACGGGGCGAGCTCGGAGGGCCGCCCCCGCCCTGCAGCTGCCGCCAGCTGGCGCGGCTGGCCTCCTCCCTCCTCCCGCCTCCCTCCTCCCCTGGGGCTGTGCCACTCATCAGTTGCGCACCTCCCCGGCTGACGAGGTCGCGCACCTGGCTTCCGAAGAGAGCCGAAACGAACCCTCCTCCCTCCGGGACGCTTCCTTGGGGCGCGAGAGGGTGCCTGCCAGGAGGCTTCCTGGGGGCGCGCGGCGGTTCCTGCGAGGGCGCCCCCCTTGCTCGGAGGCGCCTGCCAGGCGCTTCCTCTGGGGTGGCCGGGGATGCCCGCCAGGACGCTTCTCACGGGGCGCCCGAGGGCTCCTGCCAGGAAGCCTCCCTGGAGGGCCCGAAGATAGTACCCGCCAGGGCGCTTCTTTGGAACGCCCAGGAGGTACTTGCCAGGACGGTGCTCAGGCTGTTGGCGGATAGGCCAGGAGCGAGAGCGCCCTGGAGATCCGCCAGGTGGAGTGGTGGAGTACCGCAGATGCACGAGGCAGGCCCAGCTGCAGACAGACCGATCCCGAAGCCGCTCGCGGAGCGCGGCGTGAAGCTCCTCGCTGGGCCGCCCACTGCGCAGCAGGAGCAGGTGGCCGAGGTGCGTCCGAGGCGGGGCGCCGCGGGCCCCAGGCGGCGGGCCCCCCGACGCCGAGCTCGGGCGCTTCAGGCGTGGCCTTTCGCACCTCCCCCGCAGGCACGGGACGTCCTGCCTGTCGAGGAGGTGCGCCCTCCAGCGCCTCGAGCTGCTCCGCCGCCGCGGCAGCCCGGGTGCCTGCCAGACCTCCGCGGTTCCGCCGGCCAGCCTGGACTGCAGCATTGGCCGCTGCTCCGCCAGCAGCCCCAGCTTCAGCCCAACGGGCCCGCCAGCAGCGCCGACCGGCCCTGATTGCAGCTCCGCGCGGCAGCCCCGCCGGCAGCTCCCCGCAATAGTCCTGTTCGGCGGCCCCGCCGCCCCCTGGGCCTCGGGTCGAGCTCCCGACCCGCCGACCTCCGCATGCCTCCACGGGGCTCCCGATTGTCTTTACGGACCCCCAGCGCTCCGTAGTGTCGTGCAGTCTCCCCTTGGGCAGCTGGGCCCTGGCGTGCAGCCCAGACAAGGTCAAACCGTCAAAAGGGACTGCCGACAGGCCGCGCCGCTGGCCCCCAGGCGACCGCTTCCGCGACGGCCCCGCTGGAGGGCTCGGGGCAAACACCGCCTGGTGTGCGGTGGGCTCGCCATTCGGTTTGCCGCGAACCCCAGCGTCGTCGGCTGTGGCACGGGACGCAGGGCTTGCCGTGGGTTTGCCGTGGTGCCGGCGTCGTCCATTTGGGCGCGTCGAGAACAGACGGCGAGGCGACGTATCTTTGAAGCCTGAACTCTCCAGCGGCTGCGCGCATGGACGGCTTTGTGCGCATTCGTCCCCGAAACCTGCGCCAGTTGCCCGGGTGACGGGCAGCGAGCGTTCCAAACCTGCCTCTCGCCTGTGCCCGACATGTTGTGCAGAGTCGTTGTAAAGGTTTGCAAATGTTACACGACTGCAGGGCGGTCAGTTTCCCAAATCTCTGCGACACCTTGCGAACTCATCTTAACCCTGCGGGTCCAATCGGCGCTGGGGTATCCCACTCTGGGGCTCGCTTGGCTGGAGGCATCCTTCACATTCTGAAGCCTCCGCTGCTGTTTCAGAAATCTGGCCCGCAGGGAGGGCGACTCCTGCGCGGCCGTTCAAGGATGAATCTCGCCATTGACCTCAAATCGGCGGATATCGAACGATCCGCGCTATCGGGAAACCGCGATCGCTCAAGGTTGAAGAATCCATGTGGTGTCGGAAGCCAACGCAGAACTCGTAACGGCACGAGCCCGCCGTAGGAATCATACGGTTGCCCGAAGTCTGGTCCTCGCCCGAAAGCGCTGCGCAGATTTGTTTTTATTGCAAGCCTGCGGCAGCAGCTAGCTCGGGGGGAGGGCTGCTTGCTCGTCGCGCACCTTCGTGGCACGGGTGGAGCGCAGGAGACTTTTCAAAGTGGGGCTATCGCTCTGGCGCCGCGCATGGTCGTGTTTCGGGGGGATGTCTCTGATCGGCGTTAGGACCTACTGACGCGCTCCTCGCGCCATGGACGGGGTTCAGCACCGATCGGGAACATCCGTGCAGACCTCCGAACATATTTGGTGATGCAGATGTTTACAGTACTCGTCTAGTGTTGGGTTGAGGGCGGCGCCCGTTCTCGAGAGGTTACCCTGGTCTTTAGCGCCGCGAGCATTCGTCGTGACCTGTTTCAACGTTTGCGCTGGTAGAGGGTGGTTCCGTTTCACCCCCCCGTGCTCTCGTGTTTGGGATGTTGGTTGTTTTAGTCATGTAGTTTCATTTTGTGTTTAGTCGATACGCTTCGGTTTCCTATGAAGGCGCGAAGCTCCAACGTGTGCATCATGTTTACGGGGGGGAAGCGGCATTTGTCCAACATGCTGCCATGTTCGCCTAACCCATGTTCAGCGTTTTCGACCCGAAGTGGAATCACAGCGGTTGCGCGGATGGACGGCTGCTCATGTAGACGCGTGTAAGAAGCAAACGATGGAGGAGTGTTCTTCTCCAGTGCGCAGCCCTCGCCTGAATGACAGACCCATGAGGCGCTCGTCTTCCTAGGGGGGCGCCTCCCGGC